CCAAAACAGGTTCAGAACCTCCCGTTGCATTAATTAATTACCTCAGACCCAAAGTGTTCCCAAATTCACCCCAAATTCCGGGATTTTGGGACAGAACCAGAACAGGTTCAGAACCTCCCGTTGCTTTGTTTAATTCCTCCTCCCTGCAGATGCAGGGAGGAGAATACCCAGCAGAAGACAAGATATTGAGAAATGATCCTGGGCAGGTCCAAGTGAGGCATTCCTAGGGTAGGGGTGTGTGAAAAATGCGTATTTTATGACTGGCTTTTCACAAATATTACAATCAATATTATACGTGTAACGTTAGAAAGTTGCATTAATTCTCTTAAGTAGTGTGTTAAATATAGTTTTAGATTATAACATAATGTTAAAAATAGAAACTCTGCGATGTAGGATTTTTTTTACTAGCTCAAGCAAGGGATAAGATAATCAAGAAACTCTTCACACAGAGATAACAGCGACAGGGCACATAAAGAATTACTGCCTCCTTACTGGAAAAGACATTCTTCTACCTTCTCTCCATATTTATAGAACTACCAGGATTAAGGGGAAGGAGTTGACAAAAACCAGAAAAATTCTAAATTTGCAAGGAATTTATGCATCATGTATAAGATATATGAATATGCAACAGGCTATTGCTTTTAAGGGTTATTCCTTTGTTCACAAGACATGTTTTCGGCAGCTCAGTGCCCAAAAACATCCAGACATCCATAATTCTGTCCTAACTCTAAACTTTTATTACTCTAATTGTATTCGTATTTTTATAACCGTTTGATAATTCTTTAAACTTTTAAAAAATTGTAAAAAAACAAGCGTTTTTCACGGGGTGGTACCTGGAAGCTGCCGAAGCAGCTGCCCCCGGGCAGGGTGACATAGCAGACGTAGGGCGGGCTGGCGGCCGGGACCATCTCGTAGAGCACCAGGGCTCCGTTGCGCAGCTCGGCCCCGCGGGATTGCTTCATCTGCCAGAATTCCTGCAGCGCCTCCACCACGTTCACTGCATCGGCATCACCGGGATCGGCATCGGGATCGGCCCGGAGAACAGCGGGGATGGGGGAAAAGGGGCATGGGAAGGGGGAGAAGGGGGTGAGGAAGGGAGGAAAGGGGGCATGGGATGAGGAAAAGGAGGAAAGGAAGGAAGGAAATGGCGTGAGGAAGGAAGGGAGGAAAGAAATGGGACATGGAAAAAGGGGGTGAGGAAGGGAGGAAATGGGGCATGGGATGAGGAAAAGGGGTGTGGAAAGAAGGAAAAAGGGGTGAGGAAGGGAGGAAAGGGGGCACGGAATGAGGAAAAGGAGGAAAGGAAGGAAGGAAATGGCGTGAGGAAGGAAGGGAGGAAAGAAATGGGACACGGAAAAAGGAAAAGGGGGTGAGGAAGGGAGGAAATGGGGCATGGGATGAGGAAAAGGGGTGTGGAAAGAAGGAAAAGGGGGTGAGGAAGGGAGGAAAGGGGGCATGGGATGAGGAAAAGGGGCGTGGAAAGAAGGAAAAGGGGGTGAGGAAGGGAGGAAAGGGGGCACGGAATGAGGAAAAGGAGGAAAGGAAGGAAGGAAATGGCGTGAGGAAGGAAGGTAGGAAAGAAATGGGACATGGAAAAAGGAAAAGGGGGTGAGGAAGGGAGGAAATGGGGCATGGAATGAGGAAAAGGGGTGAGGAAGGGAGGAAAGGGGGCATGGAATGAGGAAAAGGGGTGTGGAAAGAAGGAAAAGGGGCATGGGATGAGGAAAAGGGGTGAGGAAGGGAGGAAAGGGGGCATGGGATGAGGAAAAGGGGTGTGGAAAGAAGGAAAAGGGGGTGAGAAGGGAGGAAAGGGGGCACGGGATGAGGAAAAGGGGTGTGGAAAGAAGGAAAAGGGGGTGGGGAAGGAAGGGAGGAAATGGGGCATGGAAAGTAGGAAGGAAGGAATGGAAATAAGGAAGAGGGGGTGAAGAAGGAAGGAATGGAAGGAATGGAAGGAAGGAAGGAAATGGGGCATGGAAAGAAGGAAAAGGAGAAGGAGTGAGGAAGCAGCACGGAAATAAGGAAAAGGGACACGGAAATAAGGAAAAGTGAAAAAAGGGAAAAAGGAAAAACCGATCCCACCCACCCCCCCGGTCCGTCGTCATCCCCGGCTCCCCCCGGCCCCGCTCACCGCGGCCGTAGCCCTGCGTGTGTTTGGCGAAGCTCCGCACCACGGCCTCCACCGCCTCCCGCAGCACCGCGGGCGGCCCGGGCACGGCCCCGGCCCCGGCCCCGGTCCCGGGGGGCACGGGGGGGCCCTGCAGACCCAGCGGGGGCGGCGGCGGCGGCAGCCCCAGCCCCGGCCCCAACCCCGAGCCCGCTGCCGGTGTCGGCCCCAGCCCCGCGGGGGCCCCGGTGAGGCCGGGCCGAGCCCCGCGGGGCCCGGCGCCCACCCCGGGCTGCAGCCGCTGCGCCCGCACCGCCTCCATCGCCGCGCTCCCTCCTCAGCGCCGAGCTGTCAATCAGCGCTGCTCCGCGCCCGGCGGACCAATAGGAGCGCCGGATCGGGGCGGGGGGAGGCGGGGACATCACCAGGAAACCAATCAGAACGCCGTGCGCAGCTCGAGGGGCGGGGTCAGGGCGCGGCGCACTCGCCCACTAACACAAATAGCGGTGTGTGGCTGCGGGGGCGGGGATTTGGGTGCCATTGCCCAATCGCATTGCGGGGTTTGTTAGATTGACAAGGGAATAGACGAATCAAAACGCAGGAAGCCCGAACCAGCAGAGATGATGGTAGGGGATGACAACCACACTCTTATTGACCAGGAGAAGCGATTAATGACAAAAGAAACCAACCGAACTCTTCGATACAGATTTAGAGGCGGCGATTCCTCCCGCCGCCCATTCACGGGCTCTGTTTTGGTAGCAGCGGGCGGCTCCGCGCTCAAGCCAGCGCGAAGGAGCCGCGGGCGTAGCGGAAGTGACGCCGTTGTACCGGGCTCGGTACCGGGCCCGCGCCATGGAGGCCTGGGTGCGCTTCAGCGCCCAGAGCCAGGGCCGGGAGCGCCTCCTCAGGTGCAGCCCGGGCTCCCCGGGGGTCGGGGAGGTCCAGCAGGGGTGACAACCGAGGGTCCCAAAACCCCGGGGAGAAACGGAGCGGGGAGGCCCGCGGCACCGGGGTGATGCCGCCGGTACCGCCGCTGACTCCCTCGTTGTCCGCAGGGCCGCCCAGTACGCCTGTACCTTAGCCGGGGCCGCGCTGAGCCGCGCCGGGGGCAGCTCCGGCAGCCTGAGCCGCCTGCAGCAGCTGGAGGCTCATCTGAGCCTGGG